ATGGCAGGGCACCATACATATCTGATTGTGGAGAGAATTGTGGAAGCCAACAGCTTGTTGAAGATACTCCCATTTACCCTGATGATTTTTTCCAGCTGTATTTTAAAATTAAACAGTTCTGGCATTTACGACTTCGGGGGGTAGGCAGTTACATGGGTTTAAAACCCTGTGGGTGAAAAAGCATCTACTGTTTTCAGTCCTGCAGTGTGGCTTGCCAAGCTTGAAACTATTTCTCCTTGTTTATGTTACATCTGACCTTTTGAAGAATTTGTCTGAATCAACATCTTCCAAATTATTCAGTATTTGAAAGGTTTTGATGAGATCTACTTTGTCATGCCTGGTTTGCAGTGCTGTTCGCCCTGAAGGCCTCGATTCTGGCACGAGAGTTGACCTAGTTCAGGAAATTATTTTTGTCGCCCGATGTTGTACTATCTCCAAAGCAGCACTGTCCTGAAGATGTATCCATTATTGTATCCATGCTTGGATACAATAATCCAGGTGGGGTAAATCTGAGATTTATATACCCAGTAGTAGTTGAATCACCACCTTTTCCTTACAATCAAAGGCATAATTGATTATTCCTAGGGTTTGGTTAGCTTTTTCTTACTGCTGCTCCCACCTGTTGTGTAACTTTCAGTGAATGGTGGATTTTGACTCACAGGTCCTTTACTTCATCAATCTGCTGCAAGGTTAGCTTATTAATTTGGTAGTTGTAACACGGGTTATTATGCCCCACATGCAAAGTCTTGCATTTTTTATATTAAAAAGCATTTGCTAGTCTTAAGGCCTTCGTGAAGTTCATGTAGCTCTCACTGTAAGGCTTCAATATTATTTTCATTTCCAACTTTACCATAGACATAAGTGTTTTAGATTTGTTTGGAATGCTGGGATCTCATTTGCAAGGAATGTGCCAATGGATAAGAAGCTATTAAATTTAATAGCCATGTCAGCGTTTGATGACATTCCATTTCCAGGAAATGTTTTTTTATCCAAGTTGTTCTTTGACCCTAGTGTTCCATGGAAATAGGGAAATAGTGTTCAATTTTTTTCATGTTACCTTTTACTTGAATAAATTCCTTTTCATAGCAAGATTGTCTTCGCTTTTATCATCATCTTAACACTTTCGCGTTCTCTGGGATGGTAAAAAAAAAAAAAGCGGTATGTGCGCGGGGCGTTTTTACTGCGTAAGCGTAAAAACAAAAATGTGTATACTCTTTTTACTTTCCTTACCTTAGTTCTCGAGCTACGTATTTCATTTTGGTACCAACGTGTTCGCAATAAAATTATCTAGAAGAACACCAGTAAAAAAAGTCACGAAACGTATAGGGATACCAGCACCAAATAAATAACTACGAAGATGACTCGCCGTGAGCGCCCAACAGCAACAAAATGTTTTTACTCTTGGGATTGTTATCACCTCCACACTTGTCCTACAGCGTTAATTTTGGTATCAATGGACTCGCAATGAAATTCCCAACACGGTGATATGAATATAAGCATAGAATAATGATTGCGGCCCGCCCGCAAGAGTGTGGGAAGTGGTGAAATTGTTACCCGGTATCGGTGACGGGACGACGCACGGCGCTTTGAAAGTTTATACTTATTTCACTCTCATGACATTAATTTTCTATGTACGTCATTCATTTTTGTGTCAATGTGTTCGCAATAGAATATTCTATGAGCCCATACGTAAAAAAGATCAACAGAGCGTAAGATAGAATAGCGCCAAATATAAAACAACGCTGGAACATATCAGTGAGCGTCAAACACACACGAAATGTTTTTACTTTTGTTATGTTTGTCAAGTTTATACTTGTTGCACACAGTTATTTTTGGTTGTACATTGATTGGAATAAAATTCCCTAAACAGACATATGCATATAATACATGATATGGGGGAAGCATTACCAGTATAAACGGCTAAAGTCACCCACCTGCAACCCGTTTGGGACATAATACCATTTGATCGAAGTGGTCCACACCTTTCATGAACTTATTGTACCATGCAGCCTAGTGGTGAGAAAGAGAGCCTCATGGCGCGCAGTTTGAAACAAACCCAAAGTAAATCGGATAAAAATTGAATTTTATACAAATAATTTAAAAGAGGACATAACTTTATGTCCACTATGCGGTAGCGTTAGGCGAAACAGGACTCCTCGGTGAGTCCGGTTAGCGCGAAAGTGTTAAGAGAACAATGAGTACTTTACCATACCTACCTGTTAGCAGGTGAAATAGGGAACTCCAATCCAGTATTTATTCTCATTCATGTTTACTACTGATTAAGTATTCCTTTATTAAGCTTTAGTAAGAGTTGTTAGTCCTTTTAGTTGTGACTTGTTTAGTAAGCAAGGAACAGGGAGTATTATAGAGGCTTAAGAGTTTTGTGAAGTTTTTTTAAATGGAATCAAAATAGCAAGAGACCAAACTCTCAAACATACCAACAATACAAAGACACAAGAAACAACTATACAGCAGTGAAAAGATAGAGAAATTTTGAGAAGGGATAGTGGGCAAATGTAAAACAGAACCTGGCCAACAGCATTCTATAAATTCATTAAAAGCAAAGTGCAGATAAAAGATAAAATTCAGAGGTTGAAAACAGGGAGCAGACTTACGGAGAATGAAAAAGGAAATATGTGTAACACTGAAACCGTTCCAAAATGTATTTGCAAAAAATAAAGTTTTCAGAGAACCAAGACAATACAAATTTCAAAGTATTACAAAGTACATAGAGTTGTCTTGAGAAAAAATGGGAAAAAATGCTCAAGGAAATAAGTAGAAACAAAGCAGTTGGCCTCGATGGAGTTTTTATGTTACGTTCCGAGATAATGCACATCTTAGCTCAGCACTCCAGTTTCCTTTTCAGTCATCTTTGTGAGCAGGAGTCTTGGCAGATATATGGAAAATACTATCAATGCAGAAATAGTAGAAGGGAAGACTCTTATAGACTAGTCGTGGTAGTTAAAAACAAAAAAAAAAATGGAAAATGGAAAAAAATCCTTAAACCCAAATGAGTAGAACATCTCCGGAGTGAACTTACATAATAATAGACAGTATAGCTTTCAATCGGGAAGATCGTGTGTATCCTATAGGCTGCTCTATATATATAGTACCTATATATATGCTGCCCTATATAGTACCCAATCCTAAAGGCTGCTCATAAAGTTAGTGTCCAAGCTCTTCATTTTAAACTGAGAAAAAAATATATATATATATATATATGCTCCACAATTGTCTCTAGTATTGATAACTTTTGAGGAAGATAGTTCCTTGTGGTAATAAACTGCTGTAACCCCACATTTCTGGTTAGGTCTACAGTTGCGAATAGCTGAATTATTGGGAATGTTATATTGTTCAGTTGTGTCATCATTCTGCCAGGTTTCAGAAAGAACAAAGGAGAATTGCTTATTTAGTCCTTGCAGTAAGACACCAAAGCTAAGTTGTCAAAACTGAGCAGTGACAGCAATCTCACAGGTTTGTCAAGATAAATAATGGTAACCAGTCAAAACACACGCCTCAAGTAACTCGGCTGTGTACAGTAGGGGCTCGGGCACCCCCGCTGTGTACAGTAGGGGCCAGGGCACTCCCGCTGTGTACATTAAGGGCCAGGGCACCCCCGCTGTGTACAGTAGGGGGCTCGGGCACCCCCAGTGTTTACAGTAAGGGCTCGGGCACCCCCAGTGTGTACAGTAAAGGCTCGGGCACCCCATTGAGTACAGTAGGGGGCTTGGGCACCCCCAGTGTTTACAGTAGGGTCTCGGGCACCCCCCAGTGTGTACAGTATGGGCTCGGGCACCCCCAGTGGGTACAGTAGGGGCTCGGGCACCCCCAGTGGGTACAGTAGGGGTTCGGGCACCCCCAGTGGGTACAGTAGGGGCTCGGGCACCCCCAGTGGGTACAGTAGGGGTTTGGGCACCCCCAGTGGGTACAGTAGGGGCTCGGGCACCCCCAGTGGGTACAGTAGGGGCTCGGGCACCCCCAGTGGGTACAGTAGGGGTTCGGGCACCCCCAGTGGGTACAGTAGGGGCTCGGGCACCCCCAGTGGGTACAGTAGGGGCTCGGGCACCCCCAGTGGGTACAGTAGGGGTTCGGGCACCCCCAGTGGGTACAGTAGGGGCTCGGGCACCCCCAGTGGGTACAGTAGGGGCTCGGGCACCCCCAGTGGGTACAGTAGGGGCTCGGGCACCCCCAGTGGGTACAGTAGGGGCTCGGGCACCCCCAGTGGGTACAGTAGGGGCTCGGGCACCCCCAGTGGGTACAGTAGGGGCTCGGGCACCCCCAGTGGGTACAGTAGGGGCTCGGGCACCCCCAGTGGGTACAGTAGGGGCTCGGGCACCCCCAGTGGGTACAGTAGGGGCTCGGGCACCCCCAGTGGGTACAGTAGGGGCTCGGGCACCCCCAGTGGGTACAGTAGGGGCTCGGGCACCCCCAGTGGGTACAGTAGGGGCTCGGGCACCCCCAGTGGGTACAGTAGGGGCTCGGGCACCCCCAGTGGGTACAGTAGGGGCTCGGGCACCCCCAGTGGGTACAGTAGGGGCTCGGGCACCCCCAGTGGGTACAGTAGGGGCTCGGGCACCCCCAGTGGGTACAGTAGGGGCTCGGGCACCCCCAGTGGGTACAGTAGGGGCTCGGGCACCCCCAGTGGGTACAGTAGGGGCTCGGGCACCCCCAGTGGGTACAGTAGGGGCTCGGGCACCCCCAGTGGGTACAGTAGGGGTTCAGGCACCCGTACCTTCCTGTAAGCACCCCCTGTAACACCCACCCAACCCATCTTTGTACAACACATCTATGCGCTTAATGGGGAAAAATACACAACAGCCAAACACCTCAAGACAAGTCCATACAACACAAAACATATCCTAGACTCAAGCCACAATTCAATCCATCTTCCCGCAAGCTCGAGCCTTGTGGCTACCCGTGCTTGTAACGTTGTATAGTTGCTGAGCATGTAACTCCCCCTTTGCATGCATGGCACTGTCAAGCGGAAGTAGGTCACGTACCTTGAGATTTAGAGCCATTCATCATACATATATCCGAGTGTATTGGTCTCCCGCCACGCTCGAGCAGCCCCCTTCCGCTCCTGCCTTCAAGGTGCCGCGCCGCCAAACTATTTACATTGTTATGTTTGTAATACACTTTACTTTAAAATTATTATGATCTTTTACTGTCAATAAATTTGCCTTCATGCGTTTTGTATACCTATGTTACAATAAAACTAGTTATTTTGTATTATATTGTGATTGAATTTGGTAGAGATTGTCGTACACTAGCATGGCCACAATGTTTGAGAAAACCTAGTGTCTCAATCCTCGCATAACACTTCACGAAGCTTGCTAGTTTTACTAAATTCTACCACAATTTCGTCTATCTTAACGTACAATTACGAATATAAAAGAACTTACTATCAAATTTATACGATTGTAAATCACGGTTATATCTCGTACGCATTTAATAATAGTTTGTGCAAATGTAAGGAAGCGGGACGCAGCGGCCAAGGAGGCCGCCAGGGTTTAAACTGAAGACGGTGGCCACAAGGTCACCGGAGGACTGTTCCTGAGCCTTGGGTGGCACAGGTTGTCTCCTCCTCCTTTACCAACACAGCTTTACCACATCTTCTATCCGTCACATACCTCTACCACATCTCCTAGCCCTCACAAATAGAATTTAACAGGTGGCCGAGTGGACCAGGGTTGCCAGATTGGGCTACTTTTGAAAGCTCCGCGCTCCCAAATTTTTAATTTTGCTGCTTGCGACTTTTTGGGCTACTTTAAAAGCAAGTTGGGCTAGTAACGTTAACAAACTGAATGATGATTATTTATGCTTTTATAATGTAATGTGTACAAATCACTTTATGCTTTTATAATGTAATGTGTACAAATCACAGCCGCGTTAAACAGCCTGATTGACTAGACCACTTACCACAGAAGGCCTGGTAAGAGACCGGCCGGGTCCATAGAATTACCCAAATCGACCCAAATCAGGCCAAAACTACCCAAATCGTATTAGCATTACGTAAGTAATGAAGAAATATGGTATATTTACTTACTATAATGTTGGTGCTACACGTAGAACATGATCAAACCTATTTTTACTCTGAAATAATCTAATTTCATAACGAAATGAGACGTAAATATGTGAGAGGTGACGCCATAGGAAGTCGACGGTCCAAGCGACAATTGTGTGGAGCGACTTATCCAAGATATATGGTCGCCTGGAGAGAGTTTGCTGCCATAACAGCCTCCTGTACACAGTGATCCAGTCGTCGTATTTCATGGCTCAAATTGTCGCAAATTTAATTGGTAATATTAACAAGTAGAATGTGTATTTATAATAATATTTTTCATAAACAGCCACAAAATATTTAATATTTATTAAAAAAAAGTGTCTGGAAGTTAAATCAATTCCACATGACAATAAATTTGTTATATAGATACTAGCGTTATTCGTTGGTATGCGTTCGCTATTTAAACTACTCCAGTCCTTTTCGTTCATAGAACACCGAACCCTACACGCCCTCTGATATATTGCTTAATTAACAAATATTCACAAATAAAGATTATATTTATATATGTTATCAGAAAGGCAGATATAAAATAGTTTGTGTTAATGCATCACAGAGATTATACCTTATTAGAGAGGAAAAATATTCATATTTTAAACAAGGCTTCTTGGCCGACGCTCTCCTTACCGATATGGGAACTATGACCTTCCGAAGATCAATGTTAATTGAATCTATATATTGTAAAAAACGAAGTTTTTTATGTCATCAGAAAGACATATAAGCTGCATGTTAATACTTTGGTATAAATATAACTGAAGTGAAAGTGAAGATATATGCCTTTTTATAGTTACTTGATGGCTCGCTCAGGGAGTGTGAAGGCCTGCACACAAGCCAATCAATTTTATAATTAATGTACATATATGCAAAGTAACGTCAAAGGTTTTTATTTCAGAATAAAGACAGATGTAGACGATAATGTAAATACATTTCAAGGAAAACATATCTTAAATGAAAGCAAAGACATGGTCAAATAAATAGGCAATACCACACCATCGCCAGTGTCCGAACACATGAATATTCGCATTAGGTAGGTGAAAGGAAATGTACCCAACCATTTCCATTTACGCGACCAGTTTCCGTTCTTATGTTCTTACTTACATTTATTGAAATTTATCATCATCATCATTTACAGAAATAAATTAACATAAAAATGTAGTAATTTTAATACACAAAACAGAAGTAGATATGTATGTAAATTATGACGCAGGATAGGATCACTATTGCAGAACTATTCGCATACTTTGCGTCATTATATACAGTACTGGAATTTAAAAAAAATCGCGGAATTCAGAGATAACACCATCATTGGTGTCCAAGAAAAGTGTAAGTACTTCATTTATAATGATGTGCTGCCCGAAATCTTAGCGAAGTATCTAAAATTTGCTTACTGTAAGTAATTCATGCAAATGATTGTAAAGCCGTCGCCCAGTTGGGTGGGTGTGGAGCACATGACTGTTAAGCTGCCGCCCAGTTGGTTGGGTGTGGAGCACATGACTGTAAAGCTGCCGCCCATTTGGGTGGGTGTGGAGCACATGACTGTTAAGCTGCCGCCCAGTTGGGTGGGTGTGGAGCACATGACTGTTAAGCTGCCGCCCAGTTGGGTGGGTGTGGAGCACATGACTATAAAGCTGCCGCCCAGTTGGGTGGGTGTGGAGCACATGACTGTTAAGCTGCCGCCCAGTTGGGTGGGTGTGGAGCACATGACTGTTAAACTACCGCCCAGTTGGGTGGGTGTGGAGCACATAACTGTTAAGCTGCCGCCCAGTTGGGTGGGTGTGGAGCACATGACTGTAAAGCTGCCGCCCAGTTGGGTGGGTGTGGAGCACATGACTGTTAAGCTGCCGCCCAGTTGGGTGGGTGTGGAGCACATGACTATAAAGCTGCCGCCCAGTTGGGTGGGTGTCGAGCACATGACTGTTAAGCTGCCGCCCAGTTGGGTGGGTGTGGAGCACATGACTGTTAAGCTACCGCCCAGTTGGGTGGGTGTGGAGCACATGATTGTTAAGCTGCCGCCCAGTTGGGTGGGTGTGGAGCACATGACTGTTAAGCTACCGCCCAGTTGGGTGGGTGTGGAGCACATGACTGTTAAGCTGCCGCCCAGTTGGGTGGGTGTGGAGCACATGACTGTTAAGCTGCCGCCCAGTTGGGTGGGTGTGGAGCACATGACTGTTAAGCTGCCGCCCAGTTGGGTGGGTGTGGAGCACATGACTGTTAAGCTGCCGCCCAGTTGGGTGGGTGTGGAGCACATGACTGTAAAGCTGCCACCCAGTTGGGTGGGTGTGGAGCACATGACTGTAAAGCTGCCGCCCAGTTGGGTGGGTGTGGAGCACATGACTGTAAAGCTGCCGCCCAGTTGGGTGGGTGTAGAGCAAGACTAGTAATTGGACGACTCACCATAGATGTAAAGTGCCTAGTATAGTGACTTGTGAGCCTCTTGTTGAATCACTTGTGATACAAAGATTATTGATGTGTGTATTTGTGTGGGTGATTGAATATGTATGTGAATGTATATGTATATATGCAATTGACGATCACGAAACAATAATCATTTGTATGCGGAAAAATCCATATTTCATTTCTCTGGATTTACCTCATATGTATATATATGTACATGTATGTATGATTATGTGTACATGTATATATAACATTAATAAGAGGAAATGAAGATGAAGAAATGATAAAAAGAATGGCAATAGTGGATAGTAGTAACACACTTAAGAATTATTCAGTAATAAATACAAACTCGTCCTTCACCTATGATAAAGGAAAGTCAACTTGGAAGGATTCAATTTACATGAGATTAAGATTAGGATACAAATATATCTGGCAATACGGAGTTGATGTCAGTGAAAAAGATAAGGAGTGTAAATTATGTAGTATGCCGCACGCCCACACCTTAGAACATTATGTATTAGAGTGTCAACTTATTGATAACTATAGAAATAAGGAAATAAGTAATGTACCACATCAAATTGTTTGTATGTGTGATAATGGTATGATAGACAGTATACTTAGGAGCTACAAAAATTTTGCCCCAAGAGTGTAACAATTGTATGCTGTACTTACTATATTAACCTGCAATGTTAAATGGGATTCTTGTAATGCTAATTGTCTATTTGTACTTACTGAATTTGTGCGCCCCTTGAGGGACTTGAAGTAGAGGGGGTAGAAATAGCCTAAGTTACTCTATCCCTTTGAGATGTATTTTTTTCTTGTCTCAATAAACATACTTGAACTTGAACTGTAAATATTTGTGGCTTCCTGACCATAAAGTTACCGCCGCAGTCGAGGGTAAGAGACCGGATGTACCCAGTATACAAGCCGCACTAGCTATTAGTTCATAAAAGCTGACAACTTACCCAGATAAACATTACTTCCTAATTATATATATATATGCAAATAATAAAATTAAAATGTTTAAAACGTGATTATATATATGTATCATGTGGACAGTTTTTAATGTAATTTTTTCTCCTGATATTCGGGTTCTTTATTATGCTTCATCTTGAGGCAAAGCCCAATACCTTACGCCATATTGATGCTCTGTCTACAGATCATTCTCTCTCTCTCTCAAATCATATACATTGATGGTTTCCTACACCGCCACACGGGTGCAGCTGCAAGTGCAGTTGCCTCTACCCATCAGACAGAACTATTTGCCTTGCTTGTTACACTAAAATGTGTACAAGTGTGTGTGTCTATGTATTAACACGATGTACTGAACGGGGTGAGAATAGCTTGAGCTACCTCATCCATTTGTGTGTATTTTACCTCAATAAACTTATTTCAATTTCAATTTCAATTCAAGTCTCCAAACTTGATGCATTAATTGTAAGTGATTTTCTACCATCCTGCATTAATTGTAAGTGATTTCTATCATGCTTAATTGCGCGCAACTCTCTAAGACACAATTGTAACATGACCGTGTCTGAAGCTAGACAGAAAACACAACATTATTAGTGATGGTAACATAAGCCATTTCATGTGAATTCCATCTTCGTTGACCTCCGAAACTTGAGGAATGGTCCAGAAAATAG